ATATTGGGTTGGCAAATAAGTTCGTTCGGTTTTTTTGACTGGTATAAAATACAATTTATTTAATATACAAAATATATACTAATCAATAATGTATTGACTTTGGGGATGTGTGGCGGTTGCCTTTATAATGCGTGATCGGTCTCTCGCGGGGAGGGTGCAGTGACACTCGCTGTTTCTTTTAATAATAAGTAACAAGAATCATCTTTATTGTACGTGGACTACATGTGTGTGTGTGTGTATGTGTTTATGTCCGGGAGTTGTTCCCGTCTCCTGAGGACTCGTCGAGCCGCCGCGTTTAGTCCTTTACTGCGGGGGCGATGTGTCCTTCGCTGTGGACCACCAGAAATCGGCGTCCGATTTTCTTTCCCTGCGTGCCCGTTCGTACGACGTGGTGAAACCGGTCGCAAGACCCGGATGTCGCCGCGAGCCAGCGGAACTGCTGCAGGTCTAGTCAACCTCCGCTGCGGGAGCCAAATGGGGTAGAGCTTCCACGGCGTGGGGAGGAAGACGTTGGCCGCCTCCGCTGCTGGCGATGAAGGCGTTTCCCAAAAAAGAGGGGACGGCGTCCCAGCCCGCGTTGGTGAGGGTGTCCGCGGCCGTGGCGATCGGCCTGACAGACCTCCTGCCTCGGGCTCTGGGGAGCTGTCTCCAAAAAGCTGGTTCAGGCGTTTCCGTAGGCCCTGGCTCTTAGGCGTGTGGGCTAGAGCCCGCGCCGAGGAGCTGGCCGCCTGCCCCTTCTCCGTCGTAGTGGAGTGATGGACGCCTCTTCGGCGTCGGTGGCCTTTTTGCCGCTTCTTCAGCGGACACGCTTTTCAGCGCAAAGTATCGCTTCTTCAGCGAGCGAACTTTGCAGCGCGACGTATCGCTTCTTCAGCGAGGCGCACTTTTCAACGCGAGGTATCGCTTCTTCAGCGAGGCGCACTTCTTCAGCGCGAGGTATCGCTTCTTCAGCGAGGCGCACTTCTTCAGCGCGAGGTATCGCTTCTTCAGCGAGGAGTACCGCCTATAGGTGCTGTTGGTACCGCTGTTGGTATTAGGGCTATTAATAAAAGTCGCCACTAATACCAGTGCAGCGGTGTGCGAGTCTGTCCGACCACCCGCTGGGTCTGACTTTTATTGTGTCTTAATTAAGATTTTCTCGCGAGAAAACCCCCCCGCGAATGCGCCACCGAGCGGCGTTGCGCGGAGGCTCTCGCGGTTGTGCGGCGGCTCGGCGAGCGGCGGCGGCTCGGCTAGCGGCGCCGCGCTTGTGTGTGTGCGGATCTATATCGATCCGCCACATAACCCCCTTCGTTGTTTGAGAGCTCCTGGTGAGAAACGAACCGTTGGGCGAGATACTCTGCCACTTCTCGTCTTGATTTCCTCGCGCTGTTGTTCTGGCTCTTTTGTTGTTTTGCGGGGCTCTTTTGTGGTCGTGTCCGTCTCATTTGGCGCTGTTGCTAGCATATATGCTGGTTTGAGACGGTCTATGCTGACATTTGTCGTTTTGTCTTTTATTTTTAGCGAGAAGAACTTCTGCGTCCTCGCGAGTACCTCGTAGGGGCCATTGTACGCCGGTTGCAACGCTCGAGTTGGTGCGTCTTGTCGTACGAAAATGTGTGACGTTTCCTCGAGGCTCTTTTGTGCGAAGATTGCGGGTAGGCCGTGGCGTTTTACTTGCTGCGGCCGAATACTTCCCATGGTTCGTCGCAATCTTTGGACGAAATCGCTGCAGTCTTGTCTTTCCGTAGAAGTGGCTTCCTGGAGGAATTCTCCCGGCAACCGAATGGTCTCACCGTACACCATTTCGGCTGGGGTCGTTTTCAGGTCCTCTTTAACGGCTGCTCGGATTCCCATAAGCACTACCGGGAGAGTATCCACCCAGCTTTCTGTCTGGTGGCATCTGATGGCAGTTTTTAGCTGCCGGTGGAAACGCTCCACCATGCCGTTGGCAGCTGGGTGATACGCCGTTGTCCGCCAATGCTGTGTCCCAGTGAGTCGGGTAAGCTGTCGGAACAACTCGGCTTCGAACTGTCGGCCCTGGTCGGTAATGACTCTGACAGGTGTTCCGAATCTTGCAATCCAGCCTGTGAAAAGATACCGTGCGATAGTTTCTGCTGATATGTCTGGCACGGGGATGGCTTCTGGCCATCGCGTAAAGCGGTCTACGATAGTGAGACAGTAGCGGTAGTCTCTGGATAAAGGCAAGGGTCCCACGATGTCGATGTGAATGTGCTCGAATCTTTGAGTGGGCGTTGTGAATGTTCCGACCGGCGATTGTACATGACGATGTACCTTGTTCTGCTGGCAGGGTATGCATGCCTGTGCCCATCCTCTGCAGTCCTTTTCGATGTTTGGCCAGATGTATCGTTGTGATACTAGCTTCGCCAAAGCTTTTACTCCAGGATGTGCTAATCCGTGCAGGGACTGGAAAACCTGCTGCCGGAATACTTTCGTTACGAACGGTCGAGCCAGCTGTGTGGAGGTGTCACAGGTGATTTTATGCCTTGATCCTGGAATTGGTAGCTTCTCCAATTTGAGAGCGGTTTGCTGCTGTTGTAGTTCTTGCAGTTCTGCATCGCTCTCTTGCGACTTGGCGAGTTCTTCGAGACTAACCCCTTTTTGAATGCTTTCCACCCTGGACAGCGTGTCGGCTACGACATTTTCCTTTCCGGAAATATGCCGGATGTCTGTTGAGAACTGTCCGATGTACGCGAGGTGACGTACTTGTCGTGGTGAACTGTGCAGGGGGTCCTGTTGAAACGCATAGACGATCGGCTTGTGATCAGTGTAGATCGTGAATTTGCGGCCCTCCAGCATATGCCGATAATATTTCACTGCCGCGTAGATTGCTAGTAGCTCTCTATCGTAGGGGCTGTACTTTGTCTGAGCAGGATTCAGTTTTTTACTGAAGAAGGCTAGTGGTTGCCATTCTTGCTGTACCCGCTGTTGTATCACTGCTCCGATGGCGGTGTCTGATGCATCGGTTGTGAGCGTCATTTCGGCTGCTGGATCCGGGTGTGCCAGTAAGGTAGCCCGAGCGAGGCTTTCTTTGCACTCGTTGAAAGCTTCTTCATAAGTAGGCGTCCATGTAATAGGCGTGTTGCCTTTGTTTTTTGGTCCGCCTAGAAGCTCATTTAATCGGGCCTGATCTTGAGCTGCCCCAGGTATGAAGCGTCTATAAAAATTAAAAGTTCCCAGGAACTGACGTAACTGCTTGACCGTTGATGGTTTGGGGAACTCCTTTATAGACTTGACCCTTTCGGGCGGAGGTTCGGTCCCATGTTGGGATACCATGTAGTCTAGGAAGCGTACTTGCTGCGCCCCAAAAACGCATTTCGCCGGACTGATGAGTATGCCGTATTTTTTTAGTCTGGCAAATAGCTTCCTGAGATGCTCCTGGTGCTCTTGTTCTGTGGTAGAGGCCACCAGGATGTCATCGATGTAGGCGTAACAGAAGTCCAAGCCGTGTAGGACTTCATTGATAAACCTTTGAAATGTTTGTGCCGCGTTTCGTAGCCCAAAAGGCATGTATAAAAACTCAAAGAGCCCGAATGGCGTGGTGATTGCCGTTTTCGGGACATCTTCAGGGTGTACCGGGATCTGGTTGTAGGCTCTAACTAGATCTACGGTCGAAAAAATTTTCTTCCCTGCTAGAGTTTGCGAAAAGTCCTCGATGTGAGGAACCGGGTACTGATCGGGTACCGTGCGAGCATTCAGGCGTCTATAGTCTCCGCATGGGCGCCAAGCGTTTTCTTTCTTCGGCACCATATGTAGAGGCGCGGCCCATGGGCTTTTTGAAGGGCGGATTATCCCTTCTTTAAGCAGGAGATCAAACTCTGCTTTTGCAGTTTTTAGACGATCAGGAGCCAGTCTTCGGGGACGGCATGCTTCCGGTGGTCCTGACGTTGTCTTGATGTAGTGCCAGGTGTTGTGTTCTGCTCTTGTTAGTTCCGTGCGTAGGCGGGTAATCCCTGGATATTCCGCTAAGATGCGGTGGTACGAATTCTCTTCTTTGAGAACCTTGACTGACGCCGTCGTGGCGTGGTCTATGGTTCCCTAGGTTTTCAAGCCTGTTTTGCTATCTATTAACTTTCTTGCACGTAGATCCGGTAACAGATGGTAGTGGAATAAAAAATCCGCGCCGATTATTGGTTGCGATACGTTCGCAATGACAAAACGCCAAGGAAAAGACCTTTTTAGACCAAGTTTCGGTTCTATGGTGATCCATCCATACGTCGGTATCGCCGACCCATTAGCTGCATATAAAATGTATGCTGTGGGCTGCTTCGGACCTTGGACCGTGGCGCGTGGATATACGCTGACGTCAGATCCGGTGTCCACGAGGAACCGTCTTTTGGATTCCTGACAGGTGACGAAAAGGCGACGAAGAGTCTGGGTCGTGTCACTGGCCGCCATCAGTGACTCCCCCGCTCGTTTCCCAACTGGAAGTTGCACGGCTGGGTGCACTTTCGAGCTTGTTGCCCGAACTTCCGATGGTAAAAGCAAAGGTGATCCGTTTTCTTCCTCTCCCTTGACTTGCTTCTGTTTCGGTTTCGTGGACGAGGCGTTTGCTCGAGGGTGTATATCAGTTGGACACGGGGCAATTGGACACAGTCCAATCATAAATCGCTGTTCCAAGGGACCCTACAAATGTCTCTAATCACACGGTGCTGTGATTGGCTGTGTTCAAATGTACCGTGTCCAAGTGCACCGCTCCCTTTGCTCGAGACGTCGAGCCATGGCTGCCACCTGGTCGGTGAGCTGCCGTATTTGGTGGGCCATCGGTGATGGGTCGTCCGGCGCCGTTTTCACTTCGTTCACTAAACGAACGGTGACCTCTTGAATACGGTCCGCCTGTTCTGCGACGTCCTCCAGTCGGTCTTGCGTTCTGGTCGCCAGAATGGCTTGCATCGTGGTTGGTAACCGCCCGAGCCACAACGTGCGTAGTAGTTGTTCGGGTACGGCATTTCCAGCGAGCGTGCGTAGGTTCCGCAGGAATTGCGAAGGCTTGCGGTCTCCCATCTCTTCGTGTTCTAGAAGTTGGCGAATCCTGTGCTCTTGTGAAGCTGACAGTCGACGGATTAAGGCAGTCTTAATCGCGAGGTATTTGTCCGTCGCAGGTGGGTCGGTGATTACGTCCTTGACCTCACGTGCGTACCTCGTGTCGATTTGTGAGAGTACATGGGCCTACTTGGTAGCGTCTTATGTAATGCCAGCGAGCAGGAATTGTCCCTTGAGTTGTGCGAACCATAACTCGGGCTCGTTCTCCCAGAAGGGTGGTGCGCGGACGGCGACTTTGTTTACGTGTGCACCCGTTGGCTGTTCTGCCGTTGGATTCATTTTCTCAGCCGTGGAGCCTGTTGAAGCCCTTGTCGGCGAGCGCTCTGTTGGCATTGTCACTCACCCGCGAGGATCACGTCGGGGTCACCAGTTTTGGGGATGTGTGGCGGTTGCCTTTATAATGCGTGATCGGTCGCTCGCGGGGAGGGTGCAGTGACACTCGCTGTTTCTTTTAATAATAAGTAACAAGAATCATCTTTATTGTACGTGGACTACATGTGTGTGTGTGTGTATGTGTTTATGTCCGGGAGTTGTTCCCGTCTCCTGAGGACTTGTCGAGCCGCCGCGTTTAGTCCTTTACTGCGGGGGCGATGTATCCTTCGCTGTGGACCACCAGAAATCGGCGTCCGATTTTCTTTCCCTGCGTGCCCGTTCGTGCGACGTGGTGAAACCGGTCGCAAGACCCGGATGTCGCCGCGAGCCAGCGGAACTGCTGCAGGTCTAGTCAACCTCCGCTGCGGGAGCCAAATGGGGCAGAGCTTCTACGGCGTGGGGAGGAAGACGTTGGCCGCCTCCGCTGCTGGCGATGAAGGCGTTTCCCAAAAAAGAGAAGACGGCGTCCCAGCCCGCGTTGGTGAGGGTGTCTGCGGCCGTGGCGATCGGCCTGACAGACCTCCTGCGTCGGGCTCTGGGGAGCTGTCTCCAAACAGCTGGTTCAGGCGTTTCCGTAGGCCCTGGCTCTTAGGCGTGTGGGCTAGTGCCTGCGCCGAGGAGCTGGCCGCCTGCCCCTTCTCCGTCGTAGTGGAGTGATGGACGCCTCTTCGGCGTCGGTGGCCTTTTTGCCGCTTCTTCAGCGGACACGCTTTTCAGCGCCAAGTATCGCTTCTTCAGCGAGCGCACTTTGCAGCGCGACGTATCGCTTCTTCAGCGAAGCGCACTTTTCAGCGCGAGGTATCGCTTCTTCAGCGAGGCGCACTTTTCAGCGCGAGGTATCGCTTCTTCAGCGAGGCGCACTTCTTCAGCGCGAGGTATCGCTTCCTCAGCGAGGCGCACTTCTTCAGCGCGAGGTATCGCTTCTTCAGCGAAGAGTAGCGCCTATAGGTGCTGTTGGTACAGCTGTTGGTATTAGGGCTATTAATAAAAGTCGCCACTAATACCAGTGCAGCGCAGTGTGCACAGTTTTACTCCGCTTACAGCATGACGTAGGCCACGCACACAGCGAGCGACCGAGTCCGTAAGCGGCGGCTCGACAGCGGCGCGCAGGAGGGGATACGCGTATACGGCTGCTTGCCGTGTACGCGCTTCGACCGAGCTATAATATATGTCGGTCGCGTACACTATAGCTATCGTTCGGGGAAGAAAGAGGCAGCAAATGCATGCTCGGAAAAGAGAGAGCAGACGGCCGGCGTGAAACTTATGCTTATGCTGTTTGTCGTTTCTCGCCGTGCGCGCACTTCCTTCTCGCACCTATTAATTATACAAATATTTAAATTACATACAAATGTGTTAAATATTAAACATCAAAATATTAAGAATAATAAAAAGATAAATGCATCCGCTTTTCATAGATCATTAATATAGATTATTAATGATCAGATCCAAGCCGATGTTAATAAATATATCTATCCATATAGTTCGTCCTATACTTTCCAACAAATTTATTCGTTAATAATTTGAATTGCACAATAATTATTGCGAAAATTGAAAATAATAAAAGATTTTTCT